GCATTGTTTTTGCTTAAAATAAGTTGAATGAGGATGTTTGTAAATAGAATCATTCTTCTCAGTTTATCTCTCACTAGGTTTACTCTGCACTGCTTTCTTTAAAACAGATGTACTTTGTGTCCTTATTAACATGCAGGCTAAGAGGAGCAAATCTGGTTGGACCTGAGGGTAATTAGAGCGATCCTCCTGAAGTTGACACCAAGGAACTTACCAAACAACAGAAATAACACTGAATAATATTCGCATTCAGACCTAGCACTCTGTTTTTCTCGCTTTTATCATATACATGCTGTATCATTCTTTTAAATTGATTGTTTAAAAATCAGTTCCAACAACACACAACATGTTTTTATTCTGAGGACAAAGATAAATCATAATATATGATACCACTCTTACAATTACGGGGCCTGCAGTCAATATGAAACAGTATCATTGGCCCATTTAATTCACTGTGTTACGCTTCTATCGACTCACACAGAAAACCCATTCAAAATTTGATACAGAAAAAATTGGATACTTTTTTTTAACATTAAGGAAAATATATATCAGTTATAAAGCCATATCTCAAAGATCACTGGATCTGGATCGCTTCTGGATTGAATTTCTGATCTCTAAACTGATACATAGACACACATGACACTGGATACTTACACAGCTAGCAGCTGTATGGCTGTTGAATACCATTTAGGTAAAGAAAGCCATTATTGAAATCCAAACAATCATTGTCTCAAAACTGAATATATAAACTGCATGTTTCTGAATTGATTCAGCTTTTGGTCACATTTATGCTTCTTTGTAGGTTGTGAATTATTTTTGGTCGGGAAGATGTAAAGCACTCCAACATGTGTAATGGAGTGAATATTTCACTTGTGGTTTTATTTAGGATTTATAATACTCAGTGGTGTTTTAGTTTTGATGTTAATCGTTTGAAGATTGAGGACATGAGATTAGATTATTTGTCTTTGAGTGGTGTTTAATGAGAGATGATCATGAGTGATGTTTTGGTGACTGGTATTATATTATATTACTTTGTATCTGCAGCATTTATTATCACAATACAATTTTAACCTGTTTTAAAATGAGTCTTATTTTGGGCATGTTTTATAATGTGCTCTTCTTTTGAGTTTATGATTCTTACTTTAAAAACTGGAACTTGTGAAAACCTTTATTTGCATCTAAAAACTTGAAATTCGAATTAAACAATACATTTTAAACGTATCCATCAACTACTTTTTCAATGGATGATGAATGTGTTTAAATGTATGACACACTTTAAGTGAAGCTATAATTGTTTGACGATTGGTTCTTACATAATGCATCTATGAAACCTTTCAGTGTATTCCTGTTGTGATGGGTTCATATCTGATAAAATCTGCATGTATTCAAAATAAACATCAGAGAAAATCCTGAGTTCAACATTGTGTAATCTATCAAACCATATGCATCTATATATATATATATATATACATGTATATATCACCTGTGGTACAAATCTAATTGCAGTTCAAAGTCCTTTACAAAGGAGCGAAAAATGACTGACAAAAGGTAGTTTGTAAAATATAACAGCAATAAGAAATAAAATCAGCACAATGATTAATAAATATAAATACTAAAAACCTAAAATCAAACACTAAAATGTAAATTTAAAAGTAGAGATGAATAATATTGATTAAAATATAGTAAATTAAAAGCCTTAAAATGATTAAGTCATATAGAAAAGCCAGACTGAATAAATGAGTTTTTTAAATTTTTTTAAAAATCTCAATATTCTCTGATCCTCTGAAGTCTGTTCCAAAGTCTCAGAGCAGCAACGCAGAATCACAAAAGGTTTTTGTTCTGCTCTGTGGAACAACTAAAAGAAGAACCAAGAAGAACAAGAAGACCTGAGGGGTCGTCCTGGTTCATAAACTAAAATCAACTCTGAAAAGTTAATCTGGTGGAGGCCAAGTGCTTTAGACAATAATAAAATCAATATGAAGACACAAAGAGCAGCCAGTGTCAAGACTTTCAAAGATAGTGTAAGATGGAGATGAGATTTATTTTTGTGAAGTATTATTTTATAGATCTTTATTTTTTAGGTTGAGATAATATACATTATTTGATTTAATGCTAATTTCATTTATATTTACAATTTGTACTGTACAAGAGTATCTGTTTGATATGATGCACTATGCCTTTAAGGTTACCCATGGTTACGGTTTGAGGAGTGATATTGCTTTAGGACAAGTAAGGTGTCACTGTTGTTGTTGTTCAGTCTGGATATGTCATGCTCTGTTACGGACATTAAACGTATGAGACGCACAGCAAGAAGTTGTTCCCGTGCTTTTACTTACCCACACCCGAATATACAGTAGAAATATATATATAAAAACATATTGTCTTGCAGCCTTTCTTCTTCATGAGTGGAGAATTAAAACAAGTGTTAATAGTAATTTGCCTATGTGCCTATGTTTGATTAAAGAGTAAGGAAGTACCGCACATCAATTTGCAATTGGGACCTTCTCTATTTTGAAGATCATTTTTGATGAACTTAACTTTCGCCCTTATCTCTCCATAATCTCCATAAACATTTAGAAGCTGTTTTTAACTTTCTAAAATAAAGTGCCAAGACGTTATTAAGATTTCAGTGTATTAGTATTAGTCAACAAATATAAATTCTTCTGTAAAGATGTTAACACTCATTCATTACTTCATCATAACTGCCAACTACTTGATATTGTTTTAATCTGTCCTTTAGAAGTTTTTTGACTGCCCTCACATGCTTCACAGGTTGAGTTAACGTCGACATTGCCTATTTCATCACATCATGTTAAGTTATTTGTAGACACAGTAATCAACTGTACATCATTTGCAATAACAACAAAACTGGTGTGGAGTATGGATCACATGCTTGTTTATATATTATTTCACCACACATTAAGTGTTGTATGCAGAAGTGTAATTCTAAATCCCAAATGTTCATGCTGTGAGAGACTGATAATACTGTTAATGTGTTGTATTTTGTGCGTGGGTGTGTAGGGCGAGGTAGGTAAATAAATTATGCAAAGCTGAATACTCTGCCTGTTTTTCTTTCTGCTGGTAGAACAGGAGCAGCAGGAGATGAGCCATAGAAAAAAATCACAGCTTTTAAAAGAGATATGTCATATGATGAAACAATGACAAATCATGATTGTTCATATAATTTTAACACAAATTGTTCACATTTATACAAGTGTTGTACAGGATGCAGGAGATATCATTCTAAATCCCTAATGTTCACATTGTGAGAAACTGATATGTGTGAGTGTGTGTGTGTGTGTGTGTGTGTGGTGTGTGTGTGTGTGTGTGTGTGTGTGTGTGTGTGTGTGTGTGTGTTGTGGTAGGTAAATAATTATGCAAAGCAGAATACTTTGCATTTTTTCTGGTTGTAGAACAAGAAGCAGAAGGAGATGCCGATTAAAACAAATCACATGTTGTAGCTTCTAAAAGATTCAGATAAATATCATATCATGAAACAATGACAAATCATTGTTAACAGCACCATTTTCTCCTTTTTGTTCAAACCCAATCCACAGAAACTTGAGGAAAGATGTTTATGAAAGACCAAAAGTTTTCATTCTATTACTAATTGTGTGTTGTTGTTTTGTTGTGTGTGTGTGTATGTGTGTGTTGTTATGTGTGTGTGTGTGTGTGTGTGTGTGTGTGGTTGTGTGTGTGTGTGTGTGTGTTGTGTGTGTGTGTGTGTGTGGTAGTAAATAAATTATGCATTTGCATTATACATGTTTGTTCTGCCGGTACAAAAAGAAGCAGCAGGAGATGAGCGAGAAACTGTTGAATCACTAGATTCCAATAGTTTATTGAATTAATCGCATTATTACTTGCATGTTGAAATTCCATTATTTCGCATTCTCCATTTATTTCAGAATCAGAAATACTTTAATAATCCGAGGGGGGGGGTGAGTGATAATTGTTATAAAACGCCTTGAGAGGTGTCTTGTTTAAAGGCACCTCGACAGTGCTCAGAAGTGAATTGGCGCCTCTCCAGCTACCAGACCAATCTCCAGACTTGAACCGACGACCCTCCGGTTCCCAACACAAGTCCCTGCAGACTGAGCTACTGCCACCCCATAGAGCTTTTACTCCAAGAAAAAACAACTTAAAACACAACCTGATCCAGGTATTTATATATTTCAGAATCTTGAAAGTATACTAAGTACTGATGTTGTAGTGAGGACCACACTACCGAGACCAACACATATGTGAGACCAGAGTGATATGAGACTAGACAAGACCGAGACATTTAGGATCGAGACCAAGTCAAGACCAAGACCATAAATATCACTTTTAAATCATCATGTGTGCAGCGGTCACTCACCACTCATCAGTAACACCAGGAAGGTTGCGTGGTAACCAAGAGATAAAAATCAAACTACAAATGAATTGAAGTCATTTGTTCTTTTAGAAAGGAGCATCGGAGGTGGTCTTGACTGGTCTTAATCTAAAATCAGGAGTCCGCCCAGTCTGAGACAGAGACAAGACAGAGTAAAATACTTTCAAGACGAGACCTTCAAACAGTGGTCTCGAGACCGGTCTTGATTTCGATTACTACAACACTAGTGTGTACATTTGAAAAAAAGAAAGAAAAATATCCTAAAATAACCAGTAAATACTCTGTTCATTGCATTGGAAAAGAAACTTAATTTTGAAGTAAGCACATTAAATTAAGGATTAACAATTGTACTGGAGGTTAAAATATGAATGTTGGTATCATAGAGGCTGATAAAAGCTATGTATTCCTTCCTTTGGTTGAATTATAAGTCCACCGAAGAATATCCTACAATTTGGCCCTCTGACAGTGAGAATTAAATATATGTGGCCCTTGCTGTGACCAAAGTTGCCCTTTCCTGGTCTAGATCAACACCAATGGGTTACACCATCCAATTTGCATCCCGATATCTGACTTCTTTGCCACACCTGTTTAAGCCACAACCACAACTTTATAAAAGCCTGCGCTCAGGTCTGTTACTTCCTCTTCCATCCAAACCAAGCCTGACCTGCTATAGAGAACAACAAAAACCTCCATGTGAGTGTAAAATGGATCTTTCACCTTACTTCATTCTTATTTTGTTGATATATTATGAATTATTTCCAATAAACACATGTATTAATGATAGTTTAAAAACAATTTTAGAAACTTACTTAATTATTCTGATTGGTTTGACATTATTTATCAAGATCTGTAATATTCCTATTTGTCATCAGCTAAAATCATTCACAACATCTACAAAGAGGATCAACTTTTGAAACAGCATCAGATCCTGTGTACGAACATGTGAACTCCAGTTTGCGTTCCTTTGTCCTTACGTTATGTTCATTTGCTTTATGTTGATTTGTGTTTTTTACGACTGATTTGTGAATTTGTGAATATGTCAAAATAAGTAGCCTAAAAAAGTACCAGATATTACAGTTTTAGTACATCATTGACTTTTAAAAAAATCAATAGTTATACTAACATGAGATTACAATTTGTCATTTAAGTTTGATCTGTGTTGCTGCACGGAGAATCAGTTTGACTTTGACATCCTTCTTTCAGTTTAAAACAAAACTAAAGCCTCAGCAGAAATTAGATGATAAAAATGATATTTATAAGCCCTATAAAGATACCTGACCTGGAATAAAGTCATATCTTTGTGATGAAATTAAGAAAACCAACTCTTTATGGAAGTAAGATAACAAAGTGAGATATGTTAACATAGATATTATCTTTAAACAACTTTCTATGTCTGCAATCAGAAGTAATCTCAGAAGAAAAAGTAGGAGATGTCACATTGATAAAAACACATCTGCAATGTGCTCATTCTGGATGTTACTGGAGGTCATATATTATAGTCTCATCTTTTATTTTTGGATAGAATGATGACAGACAGATGTTCACCTCCTTTACATGCTTCTGGATACATCATGAGGCTGAACATCTTTGTCATCATAGAATGAGAAAATCTTTTACAGTCTGAGGGTTTCTTACGTTTCCTTTCTGAAAGTTATGAAAAAAGCAACACAAAAAAGATCAGTACCTGTTTAAAATTTCTCCAGCAGAGCATTCTTCAAATGGTCAGGGCACACTTTACCATAGAGAGTTCAGCAACATTCCCATATTGTGGCCATTTGATGTAATTGCAGTCCTCAAATAGAGTACACTATAAATCTCTGTCTAAAGAGCAGGTTAAACATGCAACATTCAGGCTACCTCTGAATTTTTCTTCAGAAGTAACTTCTAATACTGATTTATTTCTAACATCCTGTCATTTCTTCACTTCTTTATACATTTAGATTTGTTAATTTGACTTAAGAAATTCTGATGCACTTTCAGTTTTGTTTTCTGAAATGTTTGGTATATCAATAAAAGAAGAGGATCATTATGAGGGTAAAGACCAATGACATGGGTGTGGTGGAGATATAAATGTCAGATGTTTTAAAACCCTGAGCGTCATAAAAAAAAAGCCTTAAGCAGCTATGGCTATATAAATGACATTTGCCACTTGTCAGATCAGCACTCAGAAACATTAGCTTGATGTAAATGCAACGTCTTACGGCTTCAAAACATTAAAAACTATATAGATAGATTTGTCTTTAAGTCACAGGTAGCTGAGGAAATGAGTTGGTACAAAAAGAAGGACGATTGGAGGAAAATTTAGAGGTCGGTTTTCTAGTTACAGTCGACTAAATTCATGGTTTGTTTTCTGGTTTGGTAAGTTGTATGCATGGTTATTTTAAACTCATGGTTTAACTTGACAATGTTGCATTTTAGCTTGTGTAAAACTGAGGTTACTTAATAAATGACTGATGACTAACTTCTTGCTCTTTTATCTAGAACAAGTCGGGGCAAAATGGGAAATAAGTGAGTACCTCTGTCTTTGTTAAACCAGTTTAAAATATCTCAATATTATAAAGAAATCATTTTAAGTTGGAAGTTTCAGCACTTGTTCATACTGTTAATGCTTTTTTTTTCTAAATTTTACAGACTGATCACCAAGGTAAAATACTTCACGTCTTACCACACATCACACCACATTTTTGCGGCTGGAGAGATAAGAGAGAATAAACAGAACAAACAATGACGACTTGTAGAATAAACCGCACACAAACACACCTCCACAAAGTTAAGCCTGTGTACATGTATTATCCATTATCAGTCTAAATTAAAAATCTAATTAACTGGGAGGACTTTGTTCTCTAGATGCTTATTATCCCCACCAGTGGTGAGGACAGCTAGCTTTGTGCACCTTTACTATCCAAACCAACCCTCTTTGTTCTCCTTTCCTTTAATCCTAAAAAAAAGGAAGAGGAACACAGACTGTAGGCTATTGAAATAGGACATTTTCAGTGTCCAATGTTTTGTTCTCTTTGTTCTACTAGATGCTGAATATCCCCACCAGTGGTGAGGACAGCTAGCTTTGTTCACCTTTTCTATCCAAATCAACCCTCTTTGTTCTCCTTTCCTTCAATACTTAAAAAAAAGGAATAGGAAGACACGCTTTCTATTGAAAGGACATTTTCAGTGTCCAATGTTTTGTTCTCTTTGTTCTACTAGATGTTTAATATCCCAACCAGTGGTAAAGTCAAAAAAACGTTCTTTGTAGCATCAGCTTTATTCTTGGGCTCATTTCATGCTTATGCTATACCTCCCAGAGCCCTCAGGCAATCTTGAGCTGGTCTTCATGGTGTTGTTTTGTTTTTGGCATTTCATTGTTCTTAGCTTTCGTTTGTTTGTTTTCTGCCAGGTGTTTAATGATCCCATCCATGGTAGCATAGAGTTACACCCACTCCTCATCAAGATCATTGACACACCTCAGTTCCAGAGACTTCGATTCATAAAGCAGCTTGGAGGTGTCTACTTTGTTTACCCTGGAGCGTCTCACAACCGCTTTGAACACTCGAATCGGGTAAGTCAGCAAGTTTTCAGATTTCAGCCCACAGGTGACCTCAGTCCAAATAAGGAGAAGACTCATGGTGGTTTTTACATAAGCACCTTGTAAAACCAATAAAGGCAGAAAACAGTGCCTGTCTTAGTATGGATCTTATAAAAGTATATATTTTCATTTTGGTAGCAGCATCCTATTGTGATAACTGCGTTATGACTTTAAAACATTTTTTTTCTGTGGTCTAAAAAGGGTGGGATACTTAGCAGGAAAACTTGCTGAGGCTCTCAGGTCAAGGCAGCCGGAACTCAACATCACTGACAGAGACGTCCTTTGTGTTCAGATTGCTGGCCTCTGTCATGACCTGGGTGAGTAATGCATCCCTTTTCAATATTACATATAATAGTTTATAAATTATGTTATTGGGTATGAAAAGAGTAAAATGAAAGTGAAATGATCCAGAAATAACCCTTCCATCTTTCAAAAAAGCAAGGGCTTCTGCATTAATAAATAAAAAATACGAGGGTGGGGTGAGGTGGTGGTAGCTCGGTCTGTAAAGGGACTCTGATAAGAACTGGAGGGTCTGAATCTTTAAAAATAATATTTAGACTCAGAAAAAAATGTTTAACCCAGAGGGCATTTCGGTTCCACAGTCCAACCAGACCATGCATACATTTACAAACACATAACAGTCTTTCTTGTAAGCAATATTCTCAAGTTTAGATTCAGGAGTAATCCATCCTCAACTCAAACAGGTTTATTAAGACATACTGACTGTATAATCTGTACACTATCAGTGGATTACGCCTGTATTTATCTATCCATTTCAAGGTCATGGACCCTTTTCCCATCTGTATGATGGAATGTTCCTCCCCAAAGCACTGGAAAAAAAGAGGAAATTAAAGAAATGGAAGGTAAAAAGTTTTTATTTCTGTTGTAATATAACAAATGAAATACAGAGGAACGGCAAAACTGAAGCACATGTACCTTTCACACTGGCTTGTTCTTTTGAAACAAAATCCAGGATGTTCTTTTTTGTTTGCTTTTTCAGGTGTAATGGGATTATGCACATTTCCAAGAATGTTGATCTATTTCTTTAATAACAATGAACGGTGTAGTTTGTGTTGCTAAATGACCCATATCCTGTTCTCTTTGGTAATAATATGTCAACTTTTTATCTGACATGTTACCGCTTTTCAGAAGCTCCATGAGATTTTAATAATGTTTCTGTTTTAACCATTAATCCTGGTGATTCAGAGATTTAGATACAACAAACAAAGATAATAATTGAATTCATGGTTCATGAGAGGTAATTCTTTATGACAGGGAACTCTTTTAAAAGCAGAAGGGATTTCTAGATCTGTTTATGTCTCTTTGTCACTCAATAAGAGAAGATAACCTTTATTCATCCTACAACAGGCAGCAAAGAGCAAGGATAGCCAAAAAAGAGTACACAGTGCACCATTCAATAACTTTAGATCAAAAGAGTGCGATTGTTGTGTTTACATCCAAACAAACCGGGCTAAAGGGGAAACGCCCCTTTGTTTCAGAACAACTTTTCCAAAATATCCAGGTGTGAAAAAACGTTCGGTGAGAAAACTGAGCTGCATTATCACCTTCCCAAAAACTCTTATGCTTAACAGTTTGACATCGGGTTGAGTTCAGCTAGCTAAATAACCCTGATAAAGACTGTTAGGATGTTGCATACAGTATATTGGCTGACATTAAGTGGCTCGTCAAATTCTGAAGCGCTTTAGGAACTCTGACATTGTAAGTTGTTTTACATACTGTACGTTTGAGATATACTCTTCAAATGTGGGGAAATTAAAGTATGTGGGATTATTATATTTATGTTTTAAATCTTGTGTTGACACATTTATGAGTCTGTGTGTCTTGCAGCATGAAAGGGGCTCTCGTCTCATGCTAGACCACCTGGTGGAACAGAATAATTTTAAACCAACGATGAAAAAGTATGGACTGAAACCTGAAGAAGATATAACATTCATTAAGGAGATGATTGCTGGACCTCTACAGGAATCTAAAGAGCAGGAGGCAAGTTCACCTCATTATGTTTTTCAGAAGTCGGATAAGATACTGTATGAATATAAGATAAGAGAAGATAAAACTTTATTCATCCTACAACGGGCAGCAAAGAGCAAAGATAGCCAAAAAGAGCACATAGTGCACCATTCAAGAAAAAATAGATAAAAAAAGTTGAGCAGCTAAAAGAGTGTGATTGCTGTGTTCACATATTTATCAAACAAACTGCTTTTTCATGTACATAGTTTATTGTGTTCATATTTTAGCTTTATCTCTGTTTTGTGGAATGGTCCTACATATTTTTTCTATGCAGTGTAAATTCATTGACAACAACATACGTGTCAATAAAACTGGTCCTGATTCGCTTTGTGTCGTCATCCCTGCAGTGGCCGTACAAAGGGCGCCCAAAAGAAAAGTCCTTCCTCTACGAAATTGTGTCCAACAAAAAAAACGGCGTTGATGTGGACAAGTTTGACTACTTGGCCAGGTCAGGTTTTAATGAAGTACTGTAGAGGAATTTATTTTGTGATGAAGACCACTACAGCACTTCTTTTTTTTTTTACCGTGAACAATGCATTATTCTCCTGATTATTTTAAATTATAGGCTACAAAACTCTCCAGTAAATTCAGTTTCCCTCTATACACCTATTTTCTTCACCTTGCCTCAATCTGCCTCTACTCAGGGACTCTTCCTACCTGGGGACCATGAACAACTTTGACTTTCGTCGCTTCCTGCAGTTTGCCAGAGTGTGTGAGGTTGAAGACAAAGACTGCAAAGAAGGAAAAAGGAAAACTATCTGCACCAGAGACAAGGTGCTGACACACTTGAGCTTGTAAAGAGATAATTTAAAGCAAACTGATAATGTTGTTATTTATGACTAAACTACAGTCCTAACCTCAACAGAAGGAAGACCATATGTACCACTTGTTCTATATAAGACACTGTCTCCACAAAAGAGCCTGTCAGCACAAAGTAAACCAAATCATACAAGAAATGTAAGTGTCTACCTTCAGAAGTTATTACTCCAAATATAAGATTGGTCTCCTTCTGATTTCCATTATTTGATCTGCATCATGATTCACTATCTCATCAGTAATAATATGTTTGATATGAACATACAGGATTGCAGAGGCTTTTTTTAAAGCAGACGGTCACATGCAGATTAAAGGATCAGGAGGGAGGATGTTCACTCTCTCTACAGCCAATGAGGACATGGAGGCCTACACAAAGCTCACAGGTGTGTAGATTTAAATGTGTGCTGTTAGCTCATGTTTAACATTGAAACCAATTCAGACTACAGGAGTATCAAGACATTGTTTAAATAATGCACAACAACAATCTGAAAAGGAAATTGTGTGTAGGCACTTGGTCAGTTTTGATGTTTGGCCAAGGACAAGGTTATCTGGTAGTTTGAGGAGTTCACAAATCCAGTCTCAAACATCCTGAACAACTGGCTGTCCTGATCATTTGAACTTGTTTGATATTTAGGATGTTTATTTATGAAGTAACAGAAATATGACATATTTCAACACTTTTTGGAAACACACTTTGTTAGATGCTGCTTTCTGTCAGATGGCTCTGTTGCTAGGTCATTTACAGTTATGCTACTTTATCCATTTTTTTTATCGTGCATTTGTTAAAGATAAATAAACCAGATCCTGTTAATTTAGTTGTGATGACTTATAAATGAACATGCCATGTCTTAAAATTTATTGCGTGTGTTTAAATTAAATTCACTAATTTTTGTGTGTGTTATTATCATTTGTTTGCTTGTTACTCTGTTACTCTTTTAGACAACGTGTTTGAGGAAATACTGAAGTCTTCCTGCTCAGAGCTAAAAAAGGCAAGAGAGATTCTGCAAAACATCATCTCTCGAAAGATCTACAAGTTTGTTGGTGAGACAATGCGACAGGTCCCCATCCAGGATTGGGAAGTAAGTCTGTGTTCTTGTGTTTCATTACATTTATAACACATGATCTAATGCACCGTTATCACAAAGCTGGATAATTTTCATTTTCAGTTAATAGAATAAGTACACATCACATTATTTACTGTCTCCAGCATTTTATCTTGCCCGTGTTGTTATTACATTTAACATGAACAGCAACACTATTGAACAGTTCTCTTTTTGAAATGCAATGTGAATTGGATAGCAGCTTGAAATGTCTTACAATACAAAATCCCTCAGTCAACTAATGCTGCATGATATTGGGGAAACTGCGATAACCTTTGAGGTTCATACAATTACAATTTGTATTATCATTTGGGCCTTCAATTCTATTTTCTTTTTCAAATAAGAACCCCTTATATGTTCAAAGTGACTTTTAATTTGCATCAAGAGCCCTGTGACATTAAAGAACAGTTCATCGTCACACACTGCATGTGATCCCTTCAACTCTACATCTTATGTGCACATAGACTCTGCCTGCACAGAAGTCACTTCTCTTTGTGATCAGGAAGAGGATCAGACAGACTGATATTGTAGATCACTCATGGAAAGAGAGAAACTGAAGGCTTTTTGTTTATTCAAAAGCAAAAACAACAAAAAATGGCATGAAATGATGCATTTCAGGACATATGATTGATATTATATATTCTGTAATGTTATCATAGCACTTGTACACATAGCAAAAATGATGCTTAAATCATACCATGCAGCCCTACAGTCAAAAATATCTACACTAAGTTGGTGCAGTTTTTTGAGTGAATGTGAAATGAATTCCAAGTTGCTTACATTGTCAACTTAAAATGCAAAAAACCTTTTCTATCCTTTCGCACTGTTCTCAACTTTGCTCCATTTTCAAGAGCCTGATTCCTAGCTGGAAAAAAGGACTGGCTGAGGGAGAAAGAAACCTGACACCAAAGGACTTTGAAATCCTGGTGAGTTTTTTTGACTTTCTTTCATTTCACCTTTTTGTAAAATCTTGGGTTTTGCAGATTTTTTGATTTGTAAGATGTTGCAAAATTTGTTACTGCAGACATACTTTTACTCTCAACCTTCATTTTAGGTCATTGAAATGGACTATGGCATGGACGATAAAGACCCTATCCAACATGTTCATTTCTACAGCAAATCTGAGCTTGACAAGGCAAAGCCAATGCCCGAAGAAAAGGTAAGAACTAAATATTGATTAAAACATTTTTTATCGCAATATTTCTTCTGTTTATTGGGCTCCATTGTTTACACCCGTGAACAGCTGGTTGCGCTGTGCCAGCCTCGGTTGCATCCAGCCGAAAGACCGGACATCCCCGCAGAACTACGGAGGAAGAGAAGGGGATGCAGAGCCGGAGTGAAGTGCCGGGAAAAGAAAAGACGGTACAAACCATCCGTGCCGTCTTTAATTATGGGGAATGTAAGATCTCTCCCTAATAAGATGGAGGAGCTGACGGCGCTCACCCGGCTTCAGAGGGAGTACCGAGAGTGTAGCATCATGCAGTTCACGGAGACATGGCTGAATGAACTCACTCCGGACACGCTCGTAACTTTGGACGGCTTCCCTCGTCAGAGCGGACCGGAGCGCGAGGGAGAGCGGTAAGAAGAAAGGCGGGGAATAGCGATGTATGTGAATGAGAGATGGTGTAACTCTGGGCACATCACCGTTAAAGAACAGCGCTGCACTAAGGATGTGGAGCTGCTGGCTGTAAGCATTCGGCCATATTACCTGCCGAGGGAGTTTCACACGTCATTGCGGTGACTGTTTACATCCCCCCCTCGGCAGACGCTGCTGCAGCCTGTGAACTCATCCACAGTGTAGTGTCTCAGCTACAGACATCACACCCCCAGTCTCTTACTCTCATCTCAGGAGACTTTAACCACGTTTCCCTGTCTGCCACTCTCCCTACTTTCACTCAGTATGTTGACTGCCATACTAGGGACAATAAAACTTTGGACTTACTGTATGCAAACACCAAGGCTGCATACAGATCATCACCCCTCCCCCCTCTGGGCCGCTCAGACCACAACCTGGTGAGACTGCAGCCATTTACATACCTATGGTGAAAAAAACAACCCCCACAACCAGGTATGTGAAGAAGTGGTCTAAGGAGGCCACTGAGGCGCTGCAGGACTGCTTCGACACCACTGACTGGGAGGTGCTGTGCAGCCCACATGGGGAGGACATCGACGGTTTAACCCACTGCATCACAGATTACATAAACTTCTGTGTTGAGAACACTGTACCCACCAAAAAAATACAGTGTTTCTCCAACAACAACCCTGGGTGACCCTGAGCTGAAAACCCTGCTCAATGAAAAGAGAAGGGTTTTTAGATCTGGAGATAGAGAGGAGCTGAGGAGGGTGCAAAAGGATAGCTCAAGATAAAATCAAGGAATTGAAAGCCAGCTATCGGGAAAAGATGGAGGAAGATTTACAACATAAAAATGCAAGAGAAGTCTGGAGGGGCCTGAATAACATCTCAGGTCACAGCAGAAGGCGTGGGAGGGGCCCTGAAGCAGGAGACAGGGAGTGGGCAAATGAACTGAATCTGTTCTTCAATAGATTTGATTCTGCTCCCAACCCCCCCCACCCCACCACAGAGAGCAGACCAGCCCGCTTCTCCATCTGAGTACCCTGAGTACCCTGCCACCCCCCTCAACAGCCCTCTCCTTCTCCTCCTCCTCCTCAGACGACCCCAACAACCCCCTCCTCTTCTTCATCCTCCTCTCTCCGACGGCCTCTCCATAACAGCTGATCAGGTGAGAAGCCAGCTGAGGAAGATCAAGGCGAGGAAGGCCACAGGTCCACGGCATCAGCTCCAGACTCCTGAAGGACTGTGCAGACCAGCTCTGTGAGGTCCTTCTGCACATCTTCAACCTGAGCCTGAGACTGGAGAGGGTACCGACTCTCTGTGGAAGACTTCCTGCGTGGTGCCAGTCCCAAAGACATCTCACCTCAGGGAGCCTAACCACTTCAGACCTGTGCCCTCACCTCTCATCTGATGAAGACCATGGAGAGGATCGTCCTCAACAACCTCCGCCCTGATGACTTCAAATCTGGATCCTCTGCAGTTCGCCTACCAGCCGAACATCGGGGCGGATGACGCCGTCATCTACCTGCTGCAGAGATCCTGGACTCACCTGTAGAACACCGGCAGCACTGTGAGGGTCATGTTCTTTGACTTCTCCAGTGCCTTCATCACCATCCAGCCTGCACTGCTCAGGGGGAAGCTAGAGAGGGCGGGAGTGGACTGTCACCTGGCTGCATGGACAACGGACTACCCTCACCAACAGACCACAGTACGTGAGGCTTCAGGACTGTGAGTCTGACATGGTGGTCTGCAGTACAGGGGCCCCGCAGGGGACAGTTCTCTCCCCTTTTCTCTTCACCCTGTACACCTCGACTTCTGTTACAATCTGGGAGCTGCCACCTGCAGAAGTTCTCCGATGACACAGCCATCGTGGGTGTGTGTCTAAGGGGAGCGAACAGGAGTACAGGCAGGTCATCATGGACTTTGTCGACTGGAGTGAGCTCAACCACTTCAGCTCAACGCCAGCAAGACAAAGGAGATGGTGATTGACTTCCGCAGGAAGTCACCCCAGACTGCACCGGTGTACATCCAGGGCTTGGACATCGAGAGGTGGAGACGTACAAATACCTGGGTGTTCACCTCAACAATAAACTGGACTGGTCAACAACACCGACGTCCTGTACAAGAAGGGCCAATGTCGACTTCACCTGCTGAGCGACTGAGGTCCCTTTGGAGTGTGCAGGACTCTGCCACGGACTTTTTATGACACTGTGGTGGCGTCTGCACTTTTCTATGCAGTGGTCTGCTGGGGAGGAGGGAGCATGGAGAGAGACAGAAAGAGACTGAACAGACTGGTCAGGAGGGCCAGTTCTGTCTTGGACTGTCCTCTGCACTCTGTAAGAGGAGGTGGTGTGAGAGGAGGATGTTAGTGAAGC